GATACTCCATTTGCAGCAGTTCATCTGAGTCCCTTTAGGAGAAGCAGCAACTGCATCGTGGTGGCAGGCATGGGCTGCCCTTGCCCATGGAACCAGCTTCTCCAGCACTTGAGGTGGGACCAAAGTTGGCAACCTTGGGAAGCAACCAGTAAACATCAATCAGGAGCTGCCACTGACTATGGATTGGGGATGCCTGAACTAATAAGCATGAAATTGGGCTGAAAAGATGCAGAAAGTACTGCAGAGGTCCACTCATAAACAAAAATGTATTTCTAGGAATAATACCCTCAACAATGGTGATCCTTGGAAGAATGTAGTAGAGCAGCATTCCCTCTCTCTTTAGTTTTTCTGTGCTTTCTGYGTGTTTCCTCTGGCTGGACTCCTCCTCTGAGAAAAAGACCCACTTCTCCCACAAGGGCTTTCTAAAACACAAAGGCTTCTCTGCACAAAACAGAGGTACAGACAAGCTTCTCTAAGGCTTTTAATCCCTTGAAGCAAAGAGGAGCCTGCCTGCTACACAAAGCTTTTTATGGATTGAAACTTTCAGTGCATTGGAGCCTTAGCTGAAATGCAGCAAGGCTTATTGTATCTTTTAAAATAAAGCCCAATATTGAATTATAAAATAAAAACTTTTGTCTACTTGAAAATAATTGCTCTCAATTTATTTAAACTGACTGTGCTTTTTATATATCACAGTTTGAATTTTATCAATGGCATTTGAACACTTACATGTTTCCTATATGATGAAATGCACTGTTCCATTTTTTTCCTCAGGATGGACAAGTATTGCAAGGATGATGCCAATGTCAGACCAGAACTCTGGTGTTCTGTGAGATAAACTAAGACTTTGAGCAGAGCATAAACAATTTAAGAAAAAAAATCACATAATTATGCTCCAAAGCAACAAGGAAAATCAGAAACATGAATCCACAGCCTCTCTGTTCAATGTAGCACTGAGCAGGAGGCAGGAATATAGAATGTCTGTGTTTCAACCTGAATGATTCTGGTATTCTGTGACTATGGGAAGAAATGGGACTTGAATATTGTGGGATAATCTACCTGCTATCATGAGAGATGCATGCTGCCCCATGTCAAAGCAGGCAGAGGATATGAATTTCCTGGGGAATTCCCACAGAGGGACCCTGTGGGAAATGACAGGTGGCTTTCTATTTGCACACTTCTCTGTTCCATAGCTTTTTAGTAATTTATCCTTTTGGCCGTTTTCTGCCATATTCCTGCTATAGCTGGTGATCAACAAACCAAGCCAGTTGTCTGAAATCTCAGGTGACACTGAGAACAGAGGTCAGCTACGAGGCACATGTTTATCCAGTGGACTCCTCTCAGAGACAGTGGACATGCTTGGTCTACCTRCACAGCACATGGGAAGGGCCAATGACTTCATGAGAAGTCTCCATTTGCTGCTGTGTAAGATGAATTCTGGTTCCTCAGGTCTCCCAGAGATCACTCTTCATCATTCTGAGGCAAACATCCCTGGGCTGAACTGCCACATTAGGCACACAAGGTCCATGCATTTTCTATTCATTGRTGACATTTTAGGTTATCTCACTAAGGCTTAAAGAAAATCCATGGAAATCCATATAGGAAGAACCAAGGAAAGGCTCAGAGGGCTGCTCCATGAAGACCATAACTATTAACCTTCATTTAAATGTTGAATTTCCTCTAGGCAGGAGCCCTGAGCTATTCTGTCCCCTCCCTGGACCAGGACATAAAAACTGGTGGATAATCCAGGCCTGAAAACAATTCAGATCCCCGTTTAAATGATGTAATTATGTAAATGATGTAAGCCAAGGATAGAAGACAGACAGAAATCTATCTGACTCCTTCTACACCATGACTGTGGCTTGCTTCCAGGGGTGGTAATTACTTTCAGCATGGTGAGGCTTGCATTCATACTGTGTGGGAAGAGAACTAGGGAAGGTAAACTCTCTACACCATCCTGATGCACAGCTGTGGGATCCCCAAAAATACTGCCAGTGTCACATACTTCCCCTGATYAGGCCAGTTTTCCACATGGAGGGTCATTCCAAACAGTACAGCTTGAACAGTGTTTGAATCCCTCAGACAGTTGGCTGTGTCCAGATGTGCCCAGGAGAGTCCTTGCCACCACTCACCACCCATCCTTCATCAGCAGTAAATCCTGGCATGTTTGATTTCCCCCTTGAGAGAGAGATGGTGATTTTTAAGATGCTTTTGGAGTTCTGACTCTAGGGCAACCTGCTGAATTTGTGCTTCTGTAACATAACTCTCAGGTTAAATGCTACGTACCATGTATGAGGGCGCACAAAAAAGAAAGGCTTGCTGGGTTAGTCTTGAACAATCAGTCTAAGCAAAGGGGCCAGGCTGTGGTGCTGTCCCACCTACATTGCAATGGCAGTCCAACTATCAAACTACTCACAGGTTTTATCTATCTGTTTCTCCCATTCCCAAAGAGATATTTGGAGAAACATACCATGTAAGCCATGGTCAGTTGGGAGAATTGTTTCCTGAAGTAAAATGAGGAGCAGTGAAAACTGAAGTTGTAAATGAGATAGTGACTGCAACACTGATGCAGATTTTACAATAAGTGAAATATTTTATTTTGAAATTTGGAAAATCTTTCCGAATAGAAGCTCTGATAGAAATCTGTTTTGACCCCTGTTTGAAAGCTCTGATTGCTCAGACCAGYTACTCTCACACTAAGTAACCTGGCTAGTGGCTAACTAGAGCTAGTATTTATTATAAAAAAATAGATATGGATCACATCAAGGTTCTAGCAGAGCATGGATAGCAGTAGATCTCCTTCCCCTTCTCCTTATTTAAATGAAGCTTTAACCTAGGGCTAAACAACTCTGCAAAATTACTTCTGGAAGAATTTAATTTCCCTGCTCACTACCCTTACTTGCATTAATTAAAAGGAAATTCTCAATCACATCTTATTTGGCTGGGAAAAATTACCTTAGCATACAACCTTTCTGAATAAAATCCCTTTTTTTGTTCTCAGTAAGTTCGTCCTCCAAGAACATAAGCTAAATTATCTGGTTATGCACTTTTAATGATCCCATCCCATTAGTATCAGTCAGGTATAAGTCAGAAAACTAAAATCTGTAAAAAAAGCTGTTAATTTTACCTGATCCAGGCTGGCTTCTTGTAAGTTCCAGGAAAATATGATTGGCCCTTTTTGAAATTTGTATGGGAATGCTTGTTTGAGTAAGTTGGTCTTTTGTTCCTTGCCTTGAAAATGGCATCTCTGCTGGCATTTTGATTTCTGATTGACTATGGCCCACCTAGTACAGATGCTCTTCCTTCTAGTCAGTCTAGAGAATCGCACTAAAGGAAGAGGATCTTACAGGGAATTCAGGTCTAAAAGAGAAATCAGTGTTGGATTCTGGTCCTCAGTTTTATACACTTATATCTGACTGCCCCAGTCTTCAACATCTCCGTTACATGAGAAAGAAGTAGCCATCTTTGCATGACCTGATCTTAAATCAAATATGGCAATAGCTCAGATGATAGGCTTCATTTTTTTCCATCTTTTTAAAATTAAAAATTACAGTACAAGTGTATATTTATCACAATAAATTATCAAATAGAGACAATGTCTGGCTAACAAGCAACTACTCTATACAGTTCATTCAGACTTTACTAAACAGCCACTAGATTTGCAGCCGCTGTAGAAGAACTTAATGGTGGGGATGGCAGCCAGTTATCCTTGCAGGAGCTGATTAATTCAGATCATAAACACATGCTGMCTTCAGGATGCAGACTGAAATCTTATCAGAAGGTCTATACCCTAGAGAGATGTAGTTAGCTTTTTACCATTAACATAGTCACTTGTACTTTTTTTTTTTTTTTTAACAAAAACTTGTCTAACTACTGTAACAATATGCTTTTACAAAATTGTGCTTATGTCGTGGTCTGATCCATAGCCTTGGCTAGATTCCTTCTATTGAATCCCTCTCCCAAAATAGCAAAAATCAATAGATTTCATCATCACTTGTGTCCCTGAAATCTCTGATGTCTTAACCATTGGTTTTCCAAACCTGGGAACTTGTCTTAACAACTTTTCTTGGAGACTTTTCTGGTCATCTAACCTCTGGCAGAAGATTAAACGATTCGTGTCTGTTCAGAGGTATTTTAAAATCAGTCCACATATATGTGTTCAAGGTATCTGTGCCCTGAGTGAAAGTGATTCTGCACTGTGCAGGCAGTAGTTGCTATCAGATTTTGTGACTTTACTAATCTTACCAAACAACTATTATCATCATCTYGAGCTGGCAGGTGAACTTTTATTATGGCAGCATGTTCAACAAGTAGAAAGAAAGCTTTTGAAGTTAAATAACTGGGGTGCTTGTTAAAGATGTCTGTTTTTCTTTGAAAATCTTTCTTCCCTCTAAGACAACATTGTCAGATTCTTTGAATACTTACTACAGAATAGTAATTGAGTAATTATCATAAAATATTGTGGAAACTATTGATTGAAGAAAATTATTTTTTCTAACATATAATCTCAGCTCAGTACAGCAAAAGTAATTTAATAGTTATGATCTGATGGAAGATGTGATATATATTGCATCCATTCTCCAGTAGCTATTGACCACAAACATTATCAGATTGAAATTTTGTTCTATGTGTAATACACCAGACTGCAGTAGTCTTCAAGACAAGTATAGCTGAATAATCCAAGCTGACACCTGTCTGGGTGCACTATCACAACATATTCGTTAAATTCCTAGATTCTAGTCTAAGATGTTTATTCACATCCCTGAGCACTGAATGAACAATTCCCTCCCAGGACAGGTGTCCATTAGCAAAATGGCATGCCTCATTTGGCCTTAAGCATGGGTGACAGCTAATAAAAGCATATGAGCATGTGTTATGCATATATGCCATAAGGTATAATGATCTTTGCTCCATACAGAAATATTTCCTATTGCCCTGGTTATTGTGAGCACTAGGAAGTGTTTCAGCATGAACAGTTATGTCTGTAACATCTGTGCCCAGGCTGGAAAAAAGAAAATATTGCAGAGCACTGTTCACAAATATAATTTTAGAGGGTATTCAGTTCCTGCCATCTATTGGCAAAACAAGCCATGGAAGGCCAGTTCACAGACCCTGTCTGCTCCAGGCCAGCTGTTGCCATYGCTGCAGTCCATGGTATGGAGCTGGAACGGAGAAGTGACAGTGACAGCAGCCAACCCCSCTATGTGGCACAAACATATAGTCCAGGAAGCAGTAAGGGTTTCTCAGTTACTTCTTGAAATGGAACACCTACCATTGTAGGTGGTGAACCATCAGGCAGATTTCAGCTTTTATGTCCGATTTCTTTCCAAACACTATAAAAGAGATGTGCACACTCCTTCTAATGTGCTCCCTAATAAGAAAGATACATTTGGTTTTAAAACTTTTATATGGCACTGTGTTTCACCAAGTAGATCATAAAATTTTCAATTACCTGAGAGAAGGAGACAAGAGATGAAGTGCTGTGATGCCTACTGAGAAATAGGACAAATGTGTCTCAGGAGCACACTTTTAAGTTACACCACTGCTTTGTGTCTCCTGAAAAGCAGCTTTTCTACTCAGGAAATCTCCAGCAGTGGATATTGATTTCAGCTGTGTCTGATACAGCTAATTGTGATGAAAACTGATATCCCAATCACTTCCAAAAGCAGCTATCTCAAAGAAGGAACGGCAGAGCTCCTACTAGATGAATTTTCCATTTCAAAGTAAGAGACGCTGTCTGAAGCAGTACAGAATTTTCTCCCCAGCTGGCCAAATTAACAGACCTGTGAGATTCCTTATTCCACATTCTCTGACAGTAAAGACTGATTATTACTGTAGAGAATGAGATCAGTAAGAAAAAAAAATATAAACAAATGTCTTTTATAGCAAGAAGTTGGTTTCTACTTCTAGCTATCCAGGTTAACAGTCTCTGTCTCTCTGTTGTTAGATTTTCTAATAATCTCCATCAGGCTTTCCCAACACATGCCACAAAAATTGTGACAAAGTCCCCTTAACTTCTCACAAGAATCTTCAACATCTATTTTCCTTAAGCTTTCTATAGATGGATGACTACAAAAAATATATTGATCAAATCTATGAAATGCTTATGGTGATTAATATTGCTTTACAGCTTCATCATGCTCCTTATATATGCAACACTGTTTCATATTATATTTTGCCTGCACAGATCATCAAAGTTGGATTTTTCTGGCAATTGTGAGCAAATTACCTCACAAAGACTTGCCAGATGATAACTCAGTATCAGGGTGCTGCAGCTTTTATGGCTGATAAAGATATCAAGAGGCAGCTGATGACTGGCTCCTCCAGAAGGAACTGACAAGCATATAAGGGCCAGTGTTTCATAATGTAGTGCTCTTGAGTTTCATAATGTAGTGCTCTTGAGCATATTGTGGGCCTTAATGCTTGAGCTGTCTCAGCTGTAGTCTTTTCCTCAGCATTTTGTGTGCTTCTTATTCCTTCTCTTTTCCTTCCTTGCTATTTTGGTTTCCTGTTCCTTGACCTAGCTTCCAGCTGCGGTCCTRTGCTGCTGGCTGCATTGCTGCACATCACAACACCCTGATCACAACCTGGCGCTCTAGACAGTGGCTCAATCCCATACCCAGCTGTACGAGTCCAGCTTGTTAGAGCACAACATACTACCTTTTTTGTGCTTCTGGCAACAAGCAGCAAATAACACATAGTTCACATACATGGGAGGTTGACAGGACTCATACGTTCATTTCAGCCAATCAGCCATTCAGCTGCAGAGACTACCTGGTTGCTGTGAAAACCACCCCTGCAGCAGTCTTCAAAAGGGGGTTGAGAAATTGAAGAGGTCCTAAGTACTTTTGCAAATGACACTAGCTTTGCTGTTCAACTGATGACATCCAGGTTGCTTTCAGTGTTTGGGGAAGCACTGGAGGAGAAATTATGGAAAAAGGCTTTTCCATAGGGTAAAAAAAGGGTAAAGCAATACACTTCACCAAGGCAACACAGCCCAGGCAGTGTGACAGTTTCTGCCAAACAAAGTCTGAGGGTTGAAATCGTGGTTCCATTTGCACTAATGGCAAACCTCTTGCTAACTGCCTGAGATATAAACCTCTCGGTGCTATCTTTAGAAGATATTTATAATTAAATCAGGTTTACTCAGCTGAATTTAGCAAAAGAAATGTAGTAAGATCTAGCCTCTCTTCCTGAGAGAGTGTACAGATACATACAAGTGTTCCTCTACCAAAAATGAGGCAAAAGTCAGGCCAGAAATGTGTTTTGCTCAGAGCATGGAAAATATAAGTACCAGTGTTGTGATTTGGAAGGCTTTCAAAATCGTCCTCTTAGCTGGAGGCAGATGCCACAAGCCACAGAGTTTAACAAAACAGCCCTGACCCAAGGTTTAAAGCACTAAACTGCACACTTGAGGACAGATTAGTAAAAACAGATGGGCAAAATACAAAGCTGCACAGACTAATTGAGCGCCCTGTTGGTGGAGGCTTCCTGTAATCAGGGGAATTTTGAGTGACATATGTTTATCTTTTCCCCCTCCTTGGGATACTATTTCATTACATACGGTAATGAGACACCTGGCCGTCTGATTTTTGGGCTGAAAATCCTTACTAGGATTTCCACCTGCTGTGTGCAAGCTTTCCTATTGGTAAAACATAGATGTTCTGCCCTGACCACTCCCTGGGGCTAGACAGAGGACCGGCTGTCTGGAAATCACSGTGATTAGAGTTCTTAGCAGTTGGGAGGCATCTCTGCCTCGGCTGAGAAAGGCAGTTGGAGGTCACTTTTTAGCTGGGGAGGAAAAGTAGAGCAGAAATAGGATGAAAGTATGCAGAAATAACCTCTAGCACATCACACACAACCTAGCTAAGGGTGCAGCAGCAGTGAGCAGTGGTATTCCTAGGATTTCAGCTACCACCTGTTTGAAGATGCAAATCCAACTTGGTATCCTAATGTAGTGAAGGTGGACAGCTGCTCTTCCAGATAAAACACTGCCCTGAGTCAGACCCCCACAGAAATCCACGCACAGGTGACAGTGCTCTTCTTCCAGGCAGGTTTTGGGCCACTGAAACCCTGGGGGTGAAGCTAAATGGTCTCTTAGTGAGAGACCTTCTTGCTCCTAGCTCTGTGTGTGTGAATCTTTGAAGGTTATTTTCAAAACTAAGTGGCAATTTTGGCTGCCTCAATATTTGAGGCACCTTAGAGAGCATTTCTCTTAGTCTCTACCACAACCTCCACCCTATCATGTACCTGATTGCCTGGTCTCATTGGCTGTACAAGGCAAGCCCACTTATGGCTCTAATCAGTTCCTTCTACCTTTCCTATCTCCACATACACTGTTCACTAGGCCTGATGGACAGCAAGTTCCTGCTTCCTGCCCTGAGATGTGTCACAACGAGAGCAAAGCAGGTCTTATTGTCACTGGAATTGCACATCCAGAGCTCCCGAATTAAGCTGGCTCTGGACATAAATGCTAAGCAGAACTCAATGCTAGCTGAGTAATCGGAGACAGCTACTGAGTAATCATGTTCCTACCTGTATAAACTAGAATCAAAAGTGAGTTATTCAGTCAGTGGAAATAAATGGATTTTTCCAGCTGGTGTGGCTGACGTGTACTGTGTATATCACATTTATATATCTTCCTTCTACCAASCAGTTCCCATTTCAATAATCAACCTCTATAGCTCTAACAATTCTACTGACTGGAAAGAAATGTGTGTTCACAACATGCACCAAGAGATAAATCCTGATACAGTACTGGGAACACATTCCATGCATTACATGTGCCAGAGGAATAGGATTTATTCAGGTCATTTATGCTCCACTGGAGAGGAAAAAGAGAAAAAAATAGGCCTTGCTGTAATGAATTAGAGTCCTTGAGTCCTGCAGTCCCTGTGCATCGGCTAACAGGAACTGTCATCCATCAGGAGAACAAGGAGTGTCTTTGTAGGCCAGAAGGTCTGTTCTAGACCTGAGGATGTACCTGCAGCCATGTGTACGCATCAGCTCCKTCAGGCCTGGACCCATGCCCCTGCTCCAGCCTTGCTTATCCATCCAGCAGCCTCTCATGCTTCCATGTCCAGGACTCTCCCATGCTTTCTGCATGCAGACCAGCACCTCCCGCAGCCTCTCACGCTCTGTCCCACATGAAAGTCCTCTCTGGASAGGCTGCTCAGAGTGAGTTTTGTTTTCCACAAGTTATTGCTCATAATGCAAAAATGCCCAGACGCCACTGTGACCATTGTCCCATTTATCTGTGCAGAAAAGGAACCACAAAGACCTTGTGATCTAAATACAGCAAGGAGAAGAGAAAAGGCAGAGGAAGGGGAGCACAGCAGGCCCAGGCTACCGCTGAGGCCAGAGCTGCCTTCAAAAACGCTGAGCCACATTCCTTTCTTTGTGCAAAGGAAGAAAGACTTAAATTATAAACTTCTGGGAGTCTCTGCCTCCTCCTCTGTCCACCCTCAGTACTGTGAGCACTCAGGGCAGCGAACGCCCCTTCACAATGTAAAGAGAACATCTGGCACATTGTGGCTGGCACTACCGGTCAGGGATAACGTGACAGACACGAAATACCCCGTTGGTATTTCACAGCTGTTCTAAATAAACACTGGATCTAACTATATACCTTTATTCATCAATGGRTTTTGTTGATTTGTAACACAGCTTATTGGCACTGGGGCAGTGGCGCAGGTAGAGGGAGAARAATAGAGCGGGAAAGAGGAGACCAAATTTGTGTATTTGTGTTTCACACAACAAGACAGAATCAACCCACCAGAGTCACCAGCTCGACAGAGGCCCCAGGCAGCTGGTTCACCTAGGCTCTTACTGGAATAACATCAATGGAGCTCTTAATGCTCACCAGCATGCGGCTCCCTGGGAAACACAGAATGATGCTAAGAACAATAAGGTATTTTCATTGAACTCAGAAATGCAGATGTGGAATTTCCTTCATGGCTCTCTAGTAAATTCCAGTAGTCCTGTAGTGTTTGAAGGCAAGAATTAAACGCACTTATCCATATTGATATCAGGGTATTAGAGTATGTGTAGATCCAAAAGGATGTAATTTTTAGCCTTTCATTGTGGAGATGTTTTAGATAGGAAACACTAGGCTGTGGAATATATGTGTTTCCACTGCCTTAGTTAAAAAAGAAAAAAAAACCCACACACTAAACAAAACATGCAGACATCTGGAACTATGCATTTCAAAATGCAGCACTTCAATGTAGCACTTCAAGCTGCTTCAAGGAAGCCATCAATCATGCATTTGCCATTGGAGCTATCTACTCTACATGCGTAWCAAAATAGGGAGGAAGAAACAGGAATTATTACATTGTGATTAAAGTTATTCCCCTGGGAAGCTACAGTGCCTATGGAATGGCAGAAATTGTTGCATAGTTCTGTGGCATCTAGGGACACCAAGCTTCCCTGGTCTTTGTAGGCTGAAGCACTTGACACACGTATTTATAACAGAGTTCCCGAATCATTACAGCATAAGCAGC